GAGTTTATTGATTTCATATATGGACTCCAGCACATATTTGTAATTGCCAAGTCATATTCAATTGCCAAGTGAGTTGTAAAAGGTGTTGCTTCCAAGAGAGTGATTTGAATTTTTATCATGGACTCTAGCAACTTTAACTGTTGTAGCCCAATTTAATCTAAAACCTCAAAAAGATGATATAAGCTTTTCTTCATTTTGCGATAGTGACTTGCTTTTTTCTTTACTATGAGAGTTTGTCTACTTCACATAAACAAAAATCGTTCTTACAAATTATATCCTGTTTGTGGAGATCGGGTACATGATTTCTAGCGTTCTCGACTTTGGACTCCGCTTTTCCCTTCCGCTCTTCTCGGACGACACATTCAAATTTGCACAAAGCCAAGGCTGAGCACTTGCTTGTTCCTCCGAACGAAATTGTCTTCGCGTCACTTGTCTACTTCTCGCGGCTTGTCGCTGTCCTGCTTCTGATCTGATTTCTTGCGTGTGGACGATCTACCTCCCAACGCACAATACATACATCCCCGCCAACCTCTCTCAATATGGATCCAGATGAACAGCAAGTATAGATAGCCCGGAGCATCAAGTATTTACAGAGTCACAAGACGCAAATTCTTGAAGAGCGAGGAATATGTAGACTGAAATGATCACGTTGACATAGACGATAGCTATCCCATAGCTCCACAGCTTGTGTTTTGAAGCCATGTTCTCCAGGCCTGGTAATTGAAGTCTTGCAGCACGCCGATCGGAAAAATTCACATCAGCATCAAAACGACCAACATCACGATCATCACTCTGCTAACAGCCATGTCTGAAATTGCCAAGCTACGCACCGTCAAAGCTCAGCACTCTTAGTCCCGCAACATTCCAATCTCATCAACACAACATCTCCTTTAACTCCAAATTCACTCCAACCTGCGTTAAGGTTTCCTTCTTGCTTCCCTCAACAATTAGATACTCGAACAGAATAATCAACTCCTTCAACCGTGTAAACTTGCATACACAAAGTGGCTCGTAATAAAAAAAACACATGGTCGAGCACAAAAGTTTGCTCCAGAGCTGCTTTTTCCGCCATAAATCAGCGTATTGACGATCCACATGCTAAGGTTGCGTCGAAGGAGAGATTTTTTGAAAGATTCTAGCAGTTTATCCTCTAATCCATCCTCCAACAGTTACTTGACTTTGTCAGATTTTGCTTGTGATAGCCTTGCCTAAGAATCTTCTTCAGCCATTTGGCATGTCAAAAGAAGGCGTAAACTTTTTAACAAGCTTTGCTTCTCTTTGTAGAAACTCATTACAATAGATGAAAGAAGCACATTTTCATTTGTTGGTCCTACATACAACTCTTGATTCACATAATCTCTTTGATAGTATGTAGGCTTGAATTTCATCTAATACTAGAATCGTGCTCAGTCAAGAGCCATATTGCGTGTATGTGCTTTCCAATATATGTATGTGATCTCCAATATACATTTGCCCGCAACTCCGTTGGAAGTTAAGAGCAGTTTTTGAGGATGCACTTGGGAGCTTGAAACGTTTGAATGAATAATTGAAGCAGCCACTGATGATTATTCTCAAGCTTTTTGGTAAAGATAGTTTCTTTGCCAAATGCTGCTCTTTGTCATAGTTCGAGATTTCACATATGCTCCTGTCTAAAAACTACCCTCAATCACTAGATATACTCTTGTCTAGTAGCTAGAACAGCTGTGTATGGGATTCCCACCAGAGGTCTTCATCAGCTTTGAAGACAGATGCTTCCTTGATGACTGTAGCCACACTCGCCGTGCTGGCTCCTCTCACCTGCACAAATTCCTACACTTTCTGCAGTACTCGAGGCCAGTGTATCAATTCTGCTGATGCACATGCATGTCGCGTCATGCTCTTTCCTTCACAATACCTATAGCTCATTTAGCCAATAGAACATGCAAAGGAAAATTGAAAGTCTTGGTATTCAAATCTTTCGGCACAGATATGCCGGATCAAAGTTGACAGCATTGAAAAAAAAACTGCAGTTCAAATTTGAGCTTCTTCATGTGGAAACCTCCGTTCCACTCCTTGTCTCAAGAGACAATTCTGCGTATCACAAGTACAGATGCTCAAGAAATAACATCTATACTTGTGGAATTCTTTTAATTTTCTACTCCAGCAATCTGAGCTTTTACAATCAGATTCCTACGTGAACTTCAACTTGGTCTTCACAATATAAGACAAGCACACTGTCTTCGAGTCAGCTCAAAGTTGAGAACTCCAAACCACTGTCAGTTCCTACTGAAAAATTGTACCATCAGTTTCAACCGTATGAGTTCACTATCACAAACAAAAACATGCACTATTCGCTCTAATACCAGTTTGTCAAGTTAAAACACCAAAATCAAATGATAGTAAACAATATGAGTCGAGACATCAATTTAACGTGGTTCACCACGGGGAAAGTTCATGCATGAGAGTGTAAAAAGTGTCCTGAATGATACAAAAACTCTGGGATTAAATACCCTAGCACTGGTGACACTCATAACAATTTTTAGTTAAGACTTGAGGTTACACCTTAACCATCGCTAAACTCAACAGATTGCATAATATAATGATGGAGTGTTATTAATGACTATTGAACAAAAATACTGTATAGAATATACGGATTCAATTTTGCACTTTTATATCCATGTATTTTCCAACAAATTGAAGAAAAATTGATTGAAAGTAATCCAAAAAGTAATAATTTTTCTAATTACTACGATTTCATTAAAGGAGATTTGGATTTTCTAATTTACTTACCACATGAAAATTTGACAATAAACTCTTTTAAATAAAATATAAAATAAGATAAAATATAACGTCATATCATATAAATAAAAAATTTGTTGCTAGTTGATATAACAAGAGTAAAATATATTAACATACATTCTTTAATAAGTTTATATGACAATTTGAATGTTAATTCCTACATTTTATCTATTTAAAAATCACTTAGTATGAAATTTATAAATTAAAAAATTGGATAAAAATTGCAATAATTTTTTTGATTATAGGTGAAAATAAAAATTTACATTCAAAAATATCTGTCAAAATATAATCTTATTTATATCAAAAATAAAATCGATAAAAAAATTGAATTTAAAATTTGATAAAATTTTTATGATGAAATTTTTAAAAATATATACATGATGTATCAATTTTTCAAATATTTTTTTTAAAACTTTGTAATTTTTCACAATTAATTATCGAAATAAAAAATATGAAACTAGAATCTATCACATGATTTATTTTTAAAAGAATTTCATATAATTGTAAATTTTCAAAAATATATTAAGAAATTAAAAATTTGAAAAAAATTTTGTGGACTATTTGTAGTTTTGTGATTTTTTGTATTGCAATATAACACTTTGAAAAGTTTGAAGTTTTAATAATGTAAATTTATAGTTTTATACAGTTAAATGTGGTTCAAATTTTATGTGATTTTACTTTCTTATTACAATATAAATAAAAATTTTAACACAAAATATTATAAATGATTCAAAATTAGGATTGATTTTCATTTATAAAATTGAGATTAAAAAATAAAATTAGCTAAGAAATTTGATCAATGTAATACAACTCATTACAATGAATTATAAAATTAAAAATTCATTTGAAAGTAATTTGAAATTATATTATGATTATTTAGAAAAAATATTGAATAGATGTCTTGCCGCACAAAGTTTTCATGTTGTAGCAAATATTTGTCAATTCAATATGATTTTTATTTTTAAATTTAAGTAATTATAATTAATGCTAAAATATTTGTCATCAACATTTTTTCAAATAATTTTGCAATATCAAATGTTCAAGTTGAATTAACAAATGTTTTTAAATACTTCTGTTTGAATTTTATCTTTGTATACATATACATTTGTAACAAAAAATTAGAATTCTATATAAATTATTTTTGATGATATGAATGAATGTTAGAGATGAAAACAAATTGTGTTCACATAATTGTTGCACATTGATCAATTGTCACATGCATCTTTTGCAATTTTTGTAATGCTTCAATGGGCAAATCTAACCTTTTGACTTAATACATCTTTTAAACTCTTTTGAAGTTGTTTGAAATCTTCATTACTTCATGAAAGCTAGTTATTTGCTAGATCTCATTCTTACATCAAACTATCAAGCTTGATTTTATGATAAGCTGGAACAAAGTTTAATTTTAATCCAAAGTTAGTATGTAGTTAAAGGTAGCTTGCAACTAGATTTTTCTCCTAAAGTCAAACATTTGTATTCATCATGCAATACACTTGCATGATTTGAGATAACTTCTCATAATTTTCATGCAAAAATTTGATTACTTAGTCAAACCAATCAAAATCAACATGTGATCAAAGTATTCTCTAATTACTTTAATATTGAAAAAAAATGTTTTCAAAAAATACTTACTAGAAGCATCTTAATTAGTTAGCTATCAGGTCAAATATAGACTTGATAGCTAAATTTAGTCATGATTAAACTAAACCTGGTAAACTTTTTGATTTTTATACTAGTTGTATAAACATACAACTACCAGTCTTACAAGTTATATTACTCTCGAATTGAAACTGAAGTTAGCTATCAAATCTATAATTGGCAAAATAATTATAATTTTTTTAGAACATCTCTACATTGTCTTTTATCAAAGATTAGATTTCAAATTATCAAATTACTTTTACTTCATATCGGTTTTGATTGAGATGATTATAGAGTAGAATTTAATTGATGAAAATAAAAGTATTATTGATTTATTGTGAAATTGAGATTCTAAAATATGAAGGTTTTTAATAATATGTCGTCACCTCAACTAAGTTACAAGTAAGGCTCCAAAGGTCTAGATTGTTGAGGTTAACTCCGATTAAAAAGTAACCTCAGGTTATAGCTATTTATAGCTAGGTGTGTCGTTGGCTTTGGGTATAAATATACCCCCAAGGCCAAGGCTTCAGTTGAAGCAGTATTGTGTATTCACTTGTTAGTAAACCTTCTCGCGTGTTTCAGCTATGGACGTAGCCCTTGAGGGTGAACCACGTTATATGAGTGTCTCGTGTGATTCTTACTTGGTTTTAGGTTTTACGTCAAGAAATGTTATCAGAGCATTGTTTCGATTCAGAATGTGTGTTGTAAGGTTGTGACTCTAGAGTCGAGATATTGACGAAGTTTTTTCTCTTACAGTGTTATGTCAATAACAGTTTTTTTTTTTCTATTTCTGTTAGGCAAGCTCAGGGTTTGTAGTTAAGTTGAAAACTTACGTTTTCTCTGATAGATTTCTGTTAGCGATGGTTTCTGACAGAGGTTTGAAAGTTTTATTCTTCCAAAATAAAATTTGCTAACAAACTGACAGTTTTGACAAAGATTGTATTTTTTACAGTTTCTGCAGTTTTTATTTCACTTCGAAGTTCGGGACTGTTTTTTCGAGTCTTGCAGTTTTTATTTCACTTCGAAGTTCGAGACTGTTTTGTCGAGTCTTGCAGAAGTTTGAGGTTCAAGAGCAAACAGAAGTTCAAAGTCAGAAGTGCAGTCAAAGAAGTTCAAAGTTCGAAGTTTGAAGTCCGAAGTCCGAAGTGCAGAGAAGTCCGATACCTCACAGCAGACAGAAGTTCAGAAGCTCGAAGTCTGCTTTGAAGTTGCAGGTGGCCGCTGCTTGCTTCGTCGAAGTTCGAACAGTATTGCCCGAGACAGAGAAGTTCAAAGTCCGAAGTGCAGTAGTGCCCGAGACAAAGAAGTTCAAGACGCAGCAGATAGTGAAGCTCAAAGTTTGAAGTGCAGAGAAGTCTGAGACCTCGCAGTAGACAGAAGTTCAGAAGCTCGAAGTCTGCTTCGAAGTTGCAGAGTTTGCATTCAGGTTTTCAATCTTCATCATTGTGACTCGAGAAAATCTCGAGAAAAGAGTGTTGAGTAACCAGAAAAGAGGTGGACACTTCCCTCGAGCAGAGCGGCCGCAGGGAGAGAGGTAGTCGCATGAGTTAGAAACTTCAGTTTTTTCTTGCAGGAGCGGAGCGGCCCCTCTTCCCGCAGGTCGCGTAGGAGGTAGAGACTTCCCCTCAAGCGGAGGCCGAGCGGCGAGTGTTTTCTTCTTGCTGGAGCAAAGCGGCCCTTCTTCTTGCAGGTGTTTTTTCTCGCTAGAGGCCCAACCCCTCCCCCCATCGCGCAGGAGCGGTTAGTGCAGAGCGGAGCCGCCCTAACCTAGGGAGGGTAGCAGGAGGAGGTGGAGGCCTTCCCTCCGGAGGTCGCGCAGGTGAAGCCCGACCCGCTTCCCAACCGGTCCTTCACCAGCATGCCCCCGAGCGGCGGAGACCTACTCTCCCCGAGGCAGGAGGTCTTCCTCCCAACCCGGACCCCGAGGCGGGAGCGGAAGGACGCCCGAAGCGGTACTCCCTTATGCAGGCCCCCGAGAGACGGTTACCTACCCGCCCCGATGCAGTAGGCCTTTCCCCCACCTTGAGGCAGTCCATCCATGAGGGGTCACTGGAGCGAACTGACTTCGAGGCCGCCGCGGTAGCGGCAAATTTTAAATTTTTTTAATTTTTCAACCCCCCGTTCCACCAAGCGGTATTCCGGCACTGGCAGACTTCAGGGCCCCCGCGGCAGCAACAAAAAAATGTTTTTCCAACCCCCCACCCTAGGAACGACGTTACTCCCCACCACCAACCACGTTGCACAGATCCATAATCCTGGGCGCAGGGTTATTCCAGCACAGTTAGGGTTTTTCAGTGACAAACGATGTGGTTGTGCCCGACTTTGTTGCAGGGCTCGTTGTCGCAGTCCAAGTGATTATAATCCACGTGATCGCACTCAAACATCGAGTACCGCAGTTCCGGTTGACGTAGTGACCTCAGGAAAAACGTGGTCGTCGGTGACAGCTATCGATCACGGTGCAGGTCGCGGGCGACAGGAGTCGTGGGTGTCGGTTTTTTTTCAGTCGCGGGCGACCGGTAGTCACGGACGACTGGAGTCGCGGGTAACGGATATTGCAGTCGCGGGCAACGTGAGTTGCGGGTGACGGATATTGCAGTCGTGGGGAAAGGAAGTCGCGGACGACGGTGGTCACGGGCGACTAGAGTCGTGGATGACAGGCGCTGCGACTCGAGCGACAGTGGTCACGGGCTGAATTCGCACGCACGCGGACGAAGCTGAAGATGCATCCAAAGGACAAAATTGATGTGGAAGCAGATGTTGTCTCTAGTTTTCGTTGAAGTGAGATGGCATCGAAACAGGTTGGAGGAACAGGGTATAAGATTCTTCCTTTTGATGGCCGAGGTGATTACCTGCTTTGGAAAAAACAGGTGAAATGCAAGCTCAGATCTATGGGTCTCGCTAATGTGCTTAGAGATAAACCAATGCACATTACTGACATTGATTGGAGGAATTCACAAGAGCAAATAGTCTACATTGTGATGGATTATCTAGATCCTTCCGTTATGAAGCAAGTTGAGGAGTATTCTGAGGTTACACGGCTTTTTGATGCTCTACAGAAATGTTTTCATCAGAAGGAAATATCACATGTGATGAACACATACATAAGGCTCTTGAACTTCAGGATGAGGCCCGGATTGAGAATTCAGGATCACATTCATGCTTACGGAGATTTGTTGGTAGATCTTCAGACTATGGGAGATGAGCTTTCTGACATTAAGAAAGCTATGCATCTACTTCATTCATTGCCTCCCTCCTACCAGATACTGTCCAAGATTCTACTTCATCGTGATAACAAGGCTGTAACTTACAACGAGGTTGTAAGTGCTCTCTTGGCAGACGAGGTTAAACAGTAGATGTTGTACTTCTCTCGCCCACTCACTTCAAGTATTGCTCTTACTGTGACTCCGGTTCCATCGCAACCGTCGGGTCTGGACAATTTGCAGCGTACAGGATTCAAGTGACAGAGATCCAAATCCCCTGAGTGAAGGAGAGTTCAATTTCGGGTTCCTTCTCCCAACAATAGGAACTTGAGGAACTTGATGTGTTGGAGATGTGGCAAGAATGGCCACATCAAGAAGGACTGTCGAATGATAGTAAGAGATGGAAATCTCTCTCCAGAGACGAATGTTGCGGAACATCTTCATTCCGAAGAAGAAGACGTGTTTGCGGACGGTCTATGATGCCAAAAGTATGCCCTCTATAGTTCACCAACAGTTGTTGGTGATGTATGGATTTTGGATAGTGCTTGTTCTTATCACATTTGTTACATTAGAGAGTTCTTCTGTACTTTCTCATGATCAAACGGTTCCGTTCTTATGGGGAATGACCAACCTTGTAAGATTGAGGGTGTGGGATCTGTAAAAATCCGCATGTTTGATGGTGTCAACCGAACACTCACACACGTTAGGTTTATACCTAACATGAGAAAGAACTTGATCTCTCTTGGAGTGTTAGACTCACACGGCTTCGAGTGTAGTTCTAGGCAATGCGTGTTAGATGTCAAATCCAGAGATAAGAAGGTTATCCTTAGGGGATACACGCACAATAATCTATACTTACTTGAGGGCACCACAATTTGTGGAGAAGTTTACCTTACCAGGTCTCGCGTAGAGATGTTTCATTTATGGCACTCTAGATTAGGCCATATGAGTGATAGATACTTGTCTATTCTTGATGAGAGAAAAGTGTTATCAGGTTTGAGTAAAGTTGACTTCGTATTTTGTGAACATTGCATCATGGAAAAATAGCATATGCAAGCTTTTACGGTTGGCACTCAAAATTCCACAGAGATACTGGAGTATGTACATAGTGACGTGTGGGCCCCATCTCCTACTGCCTCATTATCAGGAAAGCTTTACTATGTATCTTTTATAGATGATTATTCCAGGTATGTGTGGGTATATTTTCTTACCCACAAGTTTGAGCTGTTTTCCACATTCAAAACTTGGCGCGTACAAGTTGAAACTCAGACTGGCAAGAGGGTAAAATATTTACGATCTGATAATGGTGGCGAATATACTTCTGAGGAGTTTCAAAGGTATTGTACAGAGAAGTGGATTACTCGTCATTTCACAACACTTTACACTCCCCAACAAAATGCTGTTTCTTAGAGATTCAACAGAACAGTGTTGGAGAAGGTGCGGAGTATGCTAAGCGAATCTGGTTTACCAAGAGAGTTTTGGGCTGCAACCTCCGGGCTGACTCTCACTCAGGTTTACCTCAGATGGCTTTTTGATAGCTCATCATGATTCTAGAAGACTAGGATTCCGCATCATACTCATAACCTAAACACCCTCTCACACAATCTCTCAAGGTATCACTCCAACTCATACACTCATCGACACTCCAAGGTACTGAAAATTCGTCACTCTTTCATATATGAAACAAGTCTCTACATATGAACTCTCCAAACTTGCTTGAGAGGCTCTTCCCTACCTCTCTATATATACTACTTGAGAATTTACCATAGTAACAAATGGTAATTTCTATCTAACTTACTTTTACGAAGATAAACCATAGTAAGGTTGACTAGTTATCAATATGTGGCAACATGCCATTGGCCTCCTAAACCTTCTAGATGTTTACTAATCCCTAGATTGAGGTGGCGACATGCCATTTGTGCCTTTCCAACTTCTAGAACTTCCACTTTCCACTAAGTCAACATAAGACTTAGTCTAACCAATGGAATACTTATTACTTTAGTCAAACCAATCAAAACTAAACATGAAGTTCAAAAGTCTTTTCTCTTAGAATCTAGACTTTTGTACAAGACAAAATAGAAGTGCTCACTCAAATCTTCTAAAACTTCTCTAGTTATTCCGCCAAGTATAAACATTATAGCTAAACTAGCTAGACTTAGTCATAACTAGCTAGATTTAGTCATAACTATCCTAACCATGATTAACTCCTTGGCTAATTCTAGTTTTATTTCACACATGCAATATCTGGTCTTACATTTATCCCCGGACCAAGATTTCACTACGCCCTCGAAGTGAAAAAATCTGATCTTCGATGGAATAATTTCAACTTGTCGTGGTTGACTCGATCGAAGTGACGTCCTCCTAACTCCTTGATATCATAAGTAAAGTTTCCCCACACCTTCTCAACTATGAATGGTCCAAAATACTTAGGAAGAAACTTTTTCCTAGCTCTCTTGTATCTAATTGCATCAAAGAGCATCACCCAATCACCTTCCTTGAATGGCTTCAAGTTCTGGTTTCCACTTCGTTTGTCGTGATACTTCTTCTGCAACTGTTGAGTCCGCTCCACTCGTACCATGGCTAGTGCTCGAGCTTACTCCAACTAGAACAGGAGGAACATGAGCGAGTTAACATTGATGAGCCTATTGCAATAATTTCAGACGATAGAGGTCAACCGGAAACATCTATTATGAGATCGCATCGTGCTAGTAGGGCTCCTGAAAGGTTTGGTGTATGAGCAAATTCATCCATTCTCGAAGATTGTGACTTTGATGTTGAAGATGAGGATGGTATGGCATTGATCTTGGAAGAAGTTGAACCTTCTTCACACAGGGAAGCTCAAGTTTTGATCAACAAGCTTGAGTGGAATGCTGCTATGGAGCGGGAGATGGAATCCCTGATTGACAATAAGATTTGGGAGCTGGTGGAACCTCCTTCGAATCAAACGCGAATTGATTCCAAGTGGGTGTACAAGTTGAAGGACAATCCATCAAAAAACAAGGCAAGAATCTTCAAAGCTAGGCTGGTGGCTAGAGGTTTCACACAAGAGAAGGGCGTGGACTACAACGAAGTTTTTTCACCTGTAGCTAAGTATGCTACAATTCGTCTGGTATGTGCACTGGTTGCAATATTTGATCTTGTTATGGATCAGATGGATGTGGTTACAGCCTTTCTTTATAGATATTTAGAGGAGGAGATCTACATGAAACAACCTGTTGGTTTTGAGATCAAAGGCAAAGAGAGGCTGGTTTGTAGATTGCTGAAATCTTTGTATGGACTGAAGCAAGCTCCTATGCATTGGAATACGCGATTCGATGAGTTCATGAAGGCACAAGGTTTTTTACGGAGCGTGTATGATCCTTGTGTCTACATGAAGAAGGTAAATGATGAGACATTCAATCCATCATTTTAGTACTCTACGTTGACGACATACTCATACTGGCAAAAAACCAATCCGATGTTGATGAATGCAAGAGTAAGTTGAACTCTGCATTTAAGATGAAGGATATGGGGAAGTCTAAGAGAAAATTAGGCATGGAGATCCATAGGGATCATGAACTGAAGAGACTATGGTTGAGTAAAGGCAAGTATGTCCGTCGTATACTTGACAGGTTCAACATGATTGATTCCAAAGGAGTATGGACTTCTTTGGCGGCACATTTCAAACTCTCTGCATCTTAATGTCATACCGATGCTATAAAGAAAGAAAATATGTCATGTGTTCCCTATGAACAAGCCGTATGCAGCCTCATGAATTTGATGGTGTGCACTAGGCCGGACATTGCTTTTGCTTTGAGTAAGGTAAGCCGGTATATGTCAAATCCAAGGAAAGTTCACTGGGAAGCAGTAAAATGGATTATGTGATATTTGAAGAGTACCTTGGATTATGGCTTACTGTTTGATGGTCTATAAAACAATGCCAAATCCTTGTTTGGTTGCGTTGATGCTGACTACGGACAGGATCTAGATAAAAGTAGATCTACAACTGGGTATGTGTTTACACTTGGCGGTGGAAGCATTAGTTGGAGATCTACCTTGCAAAAATGCGTAGCTTAGTCAACAACGGAAGCTGAATATGTGGCAGCAGCCGAAGCATCAAAGGAAGCTATTTGGTTGGATAGACTTATCATGGAAATGGGAGTGAAGCAGGGCGTGGTTAATCTTCATTGTGATAGCCAGAGCGCTTTACATTTGGCTGCGAACCAGGTCATGGATAGCGGAGTGAAGCACATCGACATCAGGTATCATTTTATCAGACAAACATTGTTTGATAAAACGATTGAGCTAGTCAAGATCGACGGTAAACTCAATCCAGCTGATGCTTTGACCATGGTTATTCCATTGGAGAGTTTCATGCGACACTGTGCTACCATGCAGGTTGTGCATGGGAAGCACATGTAGAATTTGCTAGCATAGTAGCTTGATTTATCTCTTTATGTTATTATTCTATCCTGTTATGGCTACGTGCTAGTTCTAGTTAACTCTCGTGTAAAGAAGGGTCTTGTGTTAGGTTTCTGTTTAGAACTTCCCGCTGAGTAATAATATAGGTCACAGAGGTTACTGTTTCCGTAACACAAGTTAAGGGGGAGATTGTTGAGGTTCACTCTGGTTAAGGAGTAACCTCAAGTTATAGCTATTTATAGCTAGGTGTGTCGTTGGCTTTGGGTATAAATATACCTCGAAGGCCAAGGCTTCAGCTGAAGCAGTATTGTGTATTCACTTGTCAGTAACCTTCTCGCGTGTTTCAGCCGTGGACGTAGCCCTTGAGGGTGAACCACGTTATATGAATGTATCGTGTGATTCTTACTTGGTTTTAGGTTTTACGTCAAGATAGGTAGATAAAAAAAAATATTGCAGTTAATTTTTTTAAAATAAAAAATTAGTCATATTCACTAAAATTGATCTTTGTGAAAGTAAATTAAATAAGTTAGATATTATGAAAATTTTCACAAAAATTAACTCATGTTACCATGACTTATTCATATTATCATGCATTTTTAATATAATTTCTAGAGTAGTTAAATAGAAAAGTAAAGAATAACCTATCAAGTGAATGAGATTTTTAATGAAAAAAATCATTAACGAAAAGTTTTTAGTTGTAAAATGTCTTGGAATTTCAACTAAATTTTGTCTTTAATGATGAGTGAAGAGATTGTATGATAATGTATTTAGACACGTAATTGTAGGTGAAAAAATAAGCTTCTAAAATCATGATAAATTATTCAAAAATCATTTCAGCTTACTTGAATGAGTGTTAGCTTGATGTCATCAAATTGAAATTTTTTATATTTTTCTCCAATTTTATTGATCACATGCAAGAACTAAGTTTAATTCAAATAGCTTCAAATTTTAAAATTTGGATTGATCTACAAATGTGCTTCTAGAGTAGATACATCTGAATTATATTAAAATTTCATTTCATTTCATTTCCTATTCAAAAAATAATAATCAAGCAATTTGTTCATCTTTGATTAAATTTAAACAATGAATAAAATATCAATTTTATATAATCTCATTTTAGCTCATGAAATCACATCACAATCAATTGTTTTAAATTCAACATCAATTTTTACATTTCAAATATGAATAACTTTTATCAATGTAATATTGGGGGTTAAGAGAGAAAGTCACTCGAAGATGTAAGTGAAATCTGAGGATTAAAGATAACTATGATGATTTTTTTTTGTCTTATATGGATATTATCGACAAAAATCATAATATAAGATCTCATTTTCATCATCCATTCCATTATCAGTGGATCAATGACATGAGTAATAACTCTAACAAGCACACATGTTTTGCTAACATCTCGTTATGAACTAACATTTTCATTCTTTAACTACAAAGCACACATATTGATGGCGTGACGACTATAGATAATTCACTATATTGTAATAGTTTTTACATCTTGTATAATCTCTTCTTTATTCTAAATAATTAAAGATGTTTACAAAAATCATTTCTTTTAAGACACAATAGACTAGTTGTACATTTGTTCAAATAATTGAATTATCAAAGGTGCATTAGTTAAAACTTTAGTTGATTTTGTGTGTTTATATATATATATATATATATAAAATACACTTTTCATTGAACCAATTCTATATTTGAATATTTATGGCCTCAAATTCATCTTTTGTATTTTTTTTACCCCAAATTTATCATGATAATCTATCAAAGTTTGAAGAGAAGATGTTGTTGGTTGGTGAATTATTTTGATTATGGTACATGTTTTTGCAATTTTTCTTATACTTCAGTTGTTTAAAACATCTTGAACTCTCAAAGCTAATCCAAATTTGAAGATAAAGTCATTCAATCAACACCACTAAGATCTAGTACTACTTGATTCAGATCATAACTCACATCTTTACATATCAAGAGGTGACATTTATCATCATCTTATCTTAGTAACAATGTGAAAACAAGACAATGCTCTCATATCAATTATTAGATCATATACATGAATCAACATACATTCAGTCCAAAAGAAAAAAAGAAACAACCAACACAAAAACAATTCATATATCACTCACACAAAATACTAATTTTTTTTTTGATATCACTGATGAGACATCTAACATAGTGACAGATTAACAAACTTAACTTATTGGAATTAAACTAATAAAAGCTAAATCAATATCTTATTTAACTCCTAACATTTCAAACTTTGATTCTTTCATCTAAATTTAATTTATCCACTTTGCAAAATATACTCTAACTAATTTCAAGATCATTTCTTCTAACTCATCCATAAACATTGTTGTTTCAAATCAAAACACAGTTAGATTTTGCGGACTTAAATATTTTCATAGGAGTAGGTCTTTTGCTCTATATTACTCACTGAATTTAATTTCATTCACTTTGCAAGATATACTTTGAATTAAACTCAAAATCCTTTATCTAAGTAAACTATAAACATTATTGGTTCAAATCAAAACACAATTAGATTTTGTGGACGTAATATTTTTTCATAGGTTTTTTGCTATACATTACTAACTAACACAACCACATTCCAATCATATTTGGTTTGATATTTGCTTTTCTTCATGAATGTGAATCATTTTGTGCAAGCATACATATAAATATGAACTTAAATGAACAGAAATCGGAATAGTGACTTATTCATCTCTTGCAACTGCCTTCTAATTCTTTCACATGTTGTGCAAAGATTCATATCTAATTGATATATGTAGTTCTTGTCCAAACACCTTCCATGAGTTGCATTTCATCAAAGATGACGTAAGTAATGTGTTGTGGCAAAAATAATAATTCCACAGGTTACATATCATTGACATAGTATATATATGATGATATATCACTTGAATCTAAGTTTAAATAAATTCCATAGTTTTATTTTTCAAATCTTATTGTGTATTGAAGAAAAATACTTCTTATATAATAATGAGATTACTAATCTGACTAAACATAATCAAACTAAGTAGAATTGATCAATACTTGAATTAGTTCAACTATTTCATTGGAATGAGAATTTTCTCCTTATTTTTCATCTCTTATAAAATAAGCATAATAGTGTACAATTTAGATATCTAATTTCTTATATAATAGTGAGATTACTAGTCTGACTAAACATAATCAAACTAAGTAGAATTGATCAATACTTGAATTAGCTCAACTATTTGATTGGAATGAGGATTTTCTCCTTAGTTTTCATCTCTTATAAAATAAGCATAATAGTGTCCACTTTAGATATCTAATGTGAAAACCAACCGTTCACAAACCATAGATTCTCCTTGTGTCTTTTCTCTGAATGTTCCATGAAGTCAAAACCTTTTGAAGAGATGACGAATCTAAATTTTTGCTGTAATAAATAGTACACTTGATATTCTTGCAAAGGGAAGCCATTATCGTACCTATTTCGTTCGGTTCTGCACCATTGTACATGAATACTCTCTCCGCTGAGGTGGTGATTGTAGGCTAGTACTCATAAATATAAACTGAAACTAAGTCCAACTCTTTGTCATGTTTGAAAGATATACAACTGGTAGTCTATGATTGGTGTGCTTTTCTAAAATGAATGCATTCTCTTGATAATGAAAAAATTACATATATACAAAGTGGTTAGTATCGAAATCATCCATAATCATTTAAAAACACCATGGCCATGGTCAGAACTGCTCCATCCATGGAGCAGTCATGGCAAGCCTAGCTCACTAATCTCATTTGAAGGTAGCGGCAATTCAAGAATTATTCTCACTGAAATAGAATTAATTCCAAATTGAATATCTTCACAAACATCTATGTATAATGAACGTTCTGCAATCATTCAAAAGACAATTCTCAACATTCCAAGTACATAAATATGCAAAGGGATTAGATCTTTTTACTCTAACATTGACGTTGTATTATAGCAGAAATGTTTATATTGTCATATCCTTGAAAATTTCACGCAAAATTCTCACATGTTGAATGACATAAGAATGTATATGTTTTGGGAAAATAACAAGCAACGTATTTCAACATTAAGAATATAAGCAAGTGATGTTTCCTTACATGTTTACGATATTTGTGTAATGATTTGAACGTATCAGTTGTTACTATATCATTGGAGTACGCTTCACTTCAGGATAACATCTGAAGATTGTTCTCCGTTACCGGATGGGAGGAAGAAGGTCGAAAAGAGGAATGCTGGATACTGCAGAGAGTGGAGGACGAATGAAACACCGTTCTCCTCATCCCCTTCGTGTCGAGGGCGAATGCTGGAGCCAGAAGTCGATCCGCAGCAGGAAAGACATATTGGCATCCCGCATCCAGCGCATCCGACCGTACGTTCAACACGGATTGCTGAGATGGCCACGCGAAGGCCTTCGATTCCTCTAGAGCAAACAAGCACAAACACAAACAATTTCCTCCACTTCCCCACGTTTCAAATCAAGCGGGTATTTTGAACTGGGATCCGCCGTCGATCCACCTCCATCGGACGGCACAGAAAATCCCCTCCGCCTTGGCTCTCTCGAGCCGGACTCTCCCGCTACCTCCCTCCAGCAGTGGCCGGACTTGCCTCGCGCCATATAAACCTTTTGCCCGCCTTCCCTCTTCGTCCAGATCCTGATAATCCCGCCCACGCTGCCTTGCTTACTCGTCCCTATCGCCGAGGAACAGCTCACTCCCTCTCTCTGTCTCTTTAGTTATTTCTGTCTGCCTTCGCGACTCTGTTCGTTGTTAGTCCTCGAGGTTTGTTTGGGTCTGCGGAGACTTGCGTTAAGCAAGGACGAGTTGAACAGAGCCCCGAGGCCTGGTCAGAACATTTGCGTTTGGAGTGCCAGTGTGAAGTGGAGCAGTTCTGAAGTGAACTTGGTTCTCTCTGGGCGTGACTCCGACGGACGGATTTGTTGAGGGGGCGAAAAGTGTAATCGAGGTTTGTCGATCGTGTTGTTGATTAGGAGGCGCAATGTCAGGACGAGGAAAGGGAGGAAAGGGGTTGGGGAAAGGTGGTGCCAAGCGTCACAGGAAGGTTTTTAGAGATAACATTCAGGGTATCACCAAGCCTGCCATTCGGAGGCTTGCTAGGAGAGGTGGAGTAAAGCGTATCAGTGGTCTGATTTATGAGGAGACTCGTGGTGTGCTGAAGATTTTTCTGGAGAATGTCATTCGTGACGCGGTGACGTACACCGAGCACGCTCGGCGGAAAACTGTCACTGCTATGGATGTTGTCTACGCCTTGAAGAGGCAGGGAAGAACCCTGTACGGGTTCGGAGGCTAAGAAGCCAATTGCCTCGATTGTACTGAATTATACATTGTCCATTCAAAAGCTGGTGTGTGGAATTCGCGAGCGTCTGAGCGGGTGCACCATCAACCTCATTCTCTTCGTTACAGTTAGGGTTTCTTCTACATGTGGACCCTGTCAGATAACCTCGCCCGAGGTTGTGAATAGTCTTAAGTTCATAGTTACGAGATGCAACGATGGCCCAGTTGCATTGTCCTGAGCAGAAGTAGCCTCACGATGTACAGTATGACAATCAATGTGACACACCTTCAAAGTTAACGGAATACATCATGTTTTGTTCTCTACCGTCAATTGGTCGTGTATCAGTGCCGACTGAGCTTGTTTGGACACCTTGACTATGACTCTAAAAATTTGGATATTCTGACCATAAAAGTGAATTTCATGTCTTGCTCCCAAATGTTGAGCAGTAATTCAGTGGACTGGAGGGAACCCACAAACATAATCTCAATGTGGGAGTCGACTTGCCATGCTATGAAATTTCTCTCGAGAATATTGTCGAAGATCGTTGTGACACTGACCAAGAACGTTGAGTGATAAGTACGTAATATGGTGCATTCACTAGCTGACAACCTTCAATGCCCGTCACTGACGTGCATCACTTTCTCTTAGAAGAAAAATCAATAATTAGTTTAAAATAGGCTATTGACCAAAATCATGTAGCTAGCAGAGCAACATGAGAAAATGGCAGTGACTGGAGGAAGAAAGAGGACCTGTGGAAACAACTGGAGTGCACTGTCGGACTCACTACATTCAATCTTCTACCTGACCCGTGTGTAAAATCTCTGATTAGATTCAATTCTTGTTCCACTTTCGGACCAATGTGACACTCACTCTACTTTTGTCTTGTCACACTAGGTTAGAATTGTATTCTAGGAGACAGATGTTGAGGATAGTTCGGAAGATCAGCCAGTTCAGTGATCAGAAGCTCTCTCACAAGCACATTAAGGAGAAGGGACCGTCCGAGACTCAGTGAGCACGGTGGTGGGGAACCAGCTCGGGCTTTTACAGGCTTCGAAGATCTGTAAAGAGAAGGATTGGAGTAAACCGTTGAAAGCTTGGAGGAACTATGTCACTCTCGTAATTCTGTGGCCGTCCGTCAACGTGCGATGACATCTCTGACAAAATGAACTCTGGGTGGGTCCTTACGCCTGGAATGAAGATGGACCCTCAGGCATTCGTCCCAGTTAGTACGACTCACTGACGGACGCCTGGACAACATCGAGCTCCTGCCGAAGGGGCTCGATGATTAATACATTTTGGAATTGCAAACAAAACACGAAAGGTTTGCGTCTTTACCAATAGTTCCAGCGAGGGTGGGTGATGGGGTCTCCCCATACTTTCTGCTATATTACTCGGTTTCCTTTATTCCATCACATGGAGATGCACGCATTAACTTCATCAGTATGTTCATGTACAGCATCATCAGATCGGAGGACCATGCCCGCCGCATGCATTTGTTAGCCAGAAATATCCCGTGGATACCGTGGAGTGGAGAGCCGGTCCCAGTTTCATACTTGGAAAATGTCTTGCGGTAAGTGCTGGCAATTATGGAACCGTAAATTGTGGAAGACGTCCTCACGGTCGTTTGGTGACGACCTAATACATTGCACTGAATTCCTTGAAAATGTACCCTCTTCACATCAAATTGAAACTCTCACTTCTACCACCACTTTCCTTTCTAGATTAGAACATTGACACTCTGCCTTACGATCTTTGGAATTGTGTTTCCTAGGTGCTTGCAAATGCATGGAGAAAAATTAACGAAACTTGTTGATGACACACACTTTTGGCTTTTCCTCTGAATACACTAGATGATAACAATGTTCAAATGAACCAAACACAAACACAAATCCACTATTGAGAATATGCCGCTAGCTGTATACCATACTAACACTGATGGTGGATATGTTGAAAGAAATTTCAGGACTTAGACAAACACATGTGAGTTTTGATTGTTATAGATTTCTCTCCATGTTGATATGATGGTAATCTTCATTTGCACATGTACGCCTTTGTTTGCAATAAAATTGAGATCAATAGAAGGTTGCATTTATCTCATGTGGGTACGTAGAAGGCTTCAATTGCAAAAGATGATATATTATTTTTACCTCAAATGAAATTTTGGGATGATTAGACATTTGATATGACTGGTACATTACCACCAGTCAATATTCTTTTCCTCTCTCTTCTCTATGGTGAAGTTGTTGCTCTCTTTCATCCAGCACTTCAATTTTATGAAACTTTTTTGATACCAATACGCCAATCCATGGAAATGAAATTGGAACTAAAAGAATTGAAAGAATAATTCACTGTACAACAGAAAAATAATTTGTTGTTGGACTTAAGAACAGAACTTGATTAATTGGCGAGAGGCAAAAAGCCTAAATACAAAACAGAAATGAAATTAAGTGTTCTTGGTGGAACCTCTAAATTGTAGAGCCAAGATGTCTACCTATTTATGTGGACTACAAGACACGAGAGATCTCCTCTTTTCCTATCTGATTAGCCTAAGTGTATAGCTGTGATATCTCTTGTGAAGTAACTTCGAACAACACCCCTTTCGAGTAAACACTGATGCTTCTGGCATGACAATCGCAAGAGTCAAAGTGTGTTTCGTCGTAGCTTGGGTGTGGCGTTCAGCCAACATTCTTCACTTCTGGATTTTTCATTGCAGACGAAGCAATACTCCCAGCTGTAGGAAAAGAAATACTTCACGTTGACACAAATAAAAGCATCAAACCGATTTTATACGTGCCCGGACTCACTAAAAACTTGTTGTCTGTAGATAAACTAATAAACACGGGTCATGTAGTAGTTTTTACTCTCAAATCATACCTTGTTCTAGGAAAAAAGTATTCAAAGCCAGTAGTACTCTTGGTGAACGGGAACCTAAGTTCAAATTGTATAGGATTAGCAATAGCTTACAACAAGTTAAATTCTACCCACCTTTCGCTTCACTCACAATTCCATTCGATCTTGCTAACTTCATAGGACTTGCGAAATACGTAACGGCTGTGATCATCAGTAAGGAGTATCTCACCGACCTAAGGCACAAGCGCTTGTGCCACATCAATCACCAAACAGCGAACAACATGTCATCTAAAAAGTTTGTTAAATGCATTTCCTATTTGCAAGTAGGCTTCTACAGTAGATGTGAAACTTGTGTACTCGTCAAACAACATATATCTAGACGACTTAAACATGTTGTCAAACGAAATACTCGCCACTTCGAGCGAGTGCACAGTGACTTGTGCGGACCAATTCATAAGGACATTGAGTTCAGCTATTTATTCACGTTGACCGATGATTACACACGTTACACGTGGAATCATTTTTTTGTTGGCAAAGTGACAACTTCCAACAGTTTAAAGATTTTGTAAAGCTAGTGAAACTCATTTTTTCCACAAAGTACACTTGATAACACATACTGAGCACGATTGGTCAAACATTGTTACAATACTAAGATTCGACTCTAGAGTGGAATAATTATTGGCCGAATTCATCACCTATTACTTCTAGAAGGAGAGTCAGCTATAGTTGATAATCACAGATACAATGCATCAAAACAAAATTTTAGAAAGAAAAAAACGAATCTTAATGGAGACAACATGCTGTGTTTTCAACTTGCCGTAAGTATCCAGTCCAACTTTGGAATGAATGTAGCCATGCTGTTAACTATGTGCTCAACATGTCAGGTAATCGTGCATTAAATCTCATGATTTCATTCGAAAAGCTATATGGCTACCAGCCCAATCTATCACAACTTTTAGTTCTTGGGAGCACGACTCATGTCTACATTTCTAAAACAAACGCATCAAGCTAGAGCACAAGGCATCCAAATGTGTGTTGTTGGGTTATGATGATCGATTCAAAGCTTATCGACTATGATGTCCAACTCGACAAAACATCATACTGTTCAACGATGTGACGGTGTTTGAATCAATGCCAAGTAATTTTTGCTCTGAGGATGATGACTTTTCAAACTAAGAGTGGATGTACAAGGCAAAATCAACGATTAATCTAACTAGACTACGCCTTAAGTCTCGTCTTGTTGCACGTGGATTTGAGCAAAAGTTTGAAATTGATTAAAATAAGACATTGACACATGTATTTCAGTAGTCTACACTTCAGGCAATGATCACTCTATTTGTCACCTTAGGATGGGAGCTCAATCACTTGAATGTGATTATTGCTTTCCTGAACAACAAGCTTTAAAAACACGTCTACATGAAACAACCTCTTAAATTTGCTATACCCGGCCATGAGGATAAACTGTATTAATTGAATTGGTTGCTTTACGGCTTCAAATAGTCTCATGACAGTCATATGAGTAGATTAACAATCAAATGATAAAATCTGGATGGACTCGCACTAAGCTTGAACTCAATATGTACTTTCTAAGAGTGTGTGACACCATCACAGTTTTGATACTCTATGTCGATGATTTGCTTATCTTTGGCAGTAGCAAGGGGAGAGTTGTTGAAATCAAGTTACAACTCGGTCAAAAGTATAAGATGAAAAATTTAGGTCTCGTGAACCCTTACCTCGGCATTGACTTTGTGCGCACAACTTACGTCAAGGTCTTTTTGCACTAGCTTAGTTACACCATGTAGCTTCTCAAGAAGTGCAACATTGAACCATAGATGATCAAAATCATGCCCTTACCGTTAGGGTTTGTATAGAAGCAAATATACACAGTACATCAATCAACGTTTCAGCCTACAGTCATATTGTAGGTAAATTGATCTTCTTATGTCACGCTCGCTCTACATTTCTTATGATGTAGGCATAATGAGTCATTACATGCATTCCCCACAAGATGTTTCACCTTTCAAACTTGCTAATGATAGACATTAAATCGTCACGAACTGTATATTGTATTAGTGCAATTGCCTTTATCTGACGTTTGCAATAGACGAGTATGTCGTCATCGGTGGCAAAATCTTTAGGCCTAGTTGAATGACGTCACTATAATAATGTTTGTGATGTAAGATGGTACAGAGACGAATATACCAGTTGTGATAATTCACACAACTTGTGAATTTCTCTTTGTTAGATATAGTACTAGAATACTTAGGCATTGTAGCGGAAAGTAGGTGAGGATTGAAACAATACAACTGCTCGAGATATCTAGAACTAAAAAAAGACGCAATGACTTAGAGAGAAGAGTATCAAGGAAAGAAGCTGCTATGATACCATGTTGTTGGACTTAAAAACAGAACTTGATCAATTAGCGCGAGTCAAAATGCCCAGATACAAAACAAAAATAAAATCAAGTGGTCGTGATAG